TTTTCGATATAGGATTTTTTTAATCCAAAAATTGGCTTGGGAAAATTTATCACAAAAACCCATTTACTATTCAAGATCTTGACTACACAATCAGTGTTGTGGCTGAATTGTCTCTCCTAACACAATTCAGAATGCCATTGTATTTGGAGACATGGCCTTTAAAGTGGCGACTAAGTTAAAACGAGGCCTTCAAAGGGAGCACTAATCCAATCTGACTGGTGTCCTTACAAGAGGAAATTTAGAAACAGAGACACCAGGAATGCTCACGCACAGAGGAAAGACTATGTGAGGACACAGCGACCAGGTGGCCATCTACAAGCCAAGGAGAAAGGCCTCCAGAGAAACCAAACGTGCTGACACCTTGATCTTGGACTTCCAGCCTCCAGAACTGTGAGAAAATGAATTTCTGTGGTTTAAGCCTCCCAGTCTCTGGTATTTTGTTCTGACAGCCCTAGCAAACTAACATAATAACTATTTATTTTCATTTCTTCTCATTTGTTAAGAAATGTGCTTCTATTCAGATAAATGCATAAAACATAAGTTCAGGTTAGAGAAAAGTGATGCCACCATTTCAAGAATGAGAACATTTGAAACCACATAGAGGCTTGCCTCTGTGCATTCCTCCCTCATCCCTACCCTATAGGGAAAGGTTACTGATTCATTCTTCATACATTTTGGATACTACAATGTTACAGTTGCATATTGCAAATATCTTTTCCTATTCTGAGTCTACCTTTTCACTGTCTTTATGGCATCTTTTAATAACCTCAAGTTTCTCACTTTAATACAGTCCAATTTATCAATCTTTTCCTCTAGTGCTTTTTATTTCCTGTTCAAGAAATCTTTCCCAACCTGGAGGTAATGAAGATATTGTCCTATACTAACTTCTACAGCCTTTGAAAACTTTATAGTTTTACCTTTCACATTTAGGTCAATAATCCACCTAAGGTGATGTTTACACTTTTGAGCAGTGAAACATAGGGGTCTCAATTTATCTTTACTATGTGGAAACCCAGTTGTTCCAGGTCAGATTATTTAAAAAGCTGCCCTTCCCTCAGAGACCATAGGTCAAGCATCCATACATGCATGAGTCTGATGTGGGCTCTTTCTTCTGTTCTCTTGGTTTGTTTGTTTATCCCTATACAAATGACATATATCTTAGTTACTATGGCTTTGTAATAACACTCCATACCTAGTAAACCAAGTCATCCCATCTTGTTCTTTTTCAAGAATGTCTTGGTTATTCTAAATAAATTATATTTCCATGAATTTTTTAAATTAGATTTTCAAGTTCTAACACACAATCAGACATGCACACAAAAACAACAATATCTCCATGAAGCTTCAAAATTTCCCCCTAGAGATCTTGTACTTTTTCTGTCAGGATTATTTCAGGAACTTCCTGTTTCTTGATTCTATTATATATGGTCTTGCTATTAATTTCATTTTCTGAAGAAGTGCTTGTTAGCACACAGAAAGAGAATTTTTTTAAATACTGATTTGTAGTCACACTTCTTAAACATTCTAAAAAATCCAAGATCTAAGGATAAATCATTTGCATAATCATATCATCTAAGAGTAATGAGAGTTTTATTTCTTTCAGAAGTTACACTTTTTTTATTTCTCTTGCCTCACTTCACTGGCTAGAATTCTTAGCACTGTGTTTATTAGCAATGGTGATAGGGGGCTTAGTGGGATCAATGTCTTCATTTATTATAAGGTTTCTGTGTTCCATTCGTCACTAAAAGCACAGACATATATTGAAACACAGAATTGGCAATTGTTTGAACAGGGTATTCTTAAACTGTTTCCCCCCTACAAATATAAAATAAATATATATCTGACCTTATTCCTTCCAAGCCAAAAAAAAGGGGGGGGGGTGAAATGTTACCAAGGGACAATATCACTAGCATTTCAGGATACATTAACAAAAAGCCAAATTAACTTCATACTAGCGTTAAATATAACTTTCATTTTGTATTCATCTTAAATCCACACTATTCTTGGCTATTCTTGCCTACTCTTGTCAAAAATCCAAAATGTTAAATACATATTTCAGCAATCATAGCCATTCTAAAGTGACCAGGATGAATAAATGACCTTAGA